ACTGTGCTGGGCCCCCCAGCAGGCCTCGAAAGTGGCGACAGTTTCACAGATCGCAGCCCCCCAGGGATGGCGAGGTCAAATTTGAATCCGCCGTGGGTACCCACTGTGCTGGGCCCCCCCAGCAGGCCTCGAAAGTGGCGACAGTTTCACAGATCGCAGCCCCCCAGCTGGCACGCCGCGACGAGCGAAGCCAGAGGGGAAGAGAGGGACGGGGGGGGTGGGAAGGTTCGCGCGAGCAGTGCTCTGTTCAAAACGAGAACCCAACGCAGGAGGGTTGGGAAAAATACGAGGGAAACGTGCTATTAGACCATACGTGCGGGCCTCGCACCCCCCCTGGACCCCCCCTAAGAAGGGCTTCGCCCCCTACTCAACGTCACTCGCTCGTACCTCGCTCTTTCCGTCACCTGCTTGGCACGGGGACGGAAAGCGCACGTACTTTCAGAGCGCACGAGATCGCTGGCTCGTCCGCTCTTACACCTCTTATTGACTCCCTTCCACTCGCGCTTGTCCTATCTCAGCCTCGGAGAGTCGCGGAGCTTTCTTTGAGCGCGTTTCTTGTTTTGGAGGGGGCGGTCGGGTCGCGTTGCGTTTTCCGCGTTTGGGCTGCCAGCTTTCGGCCGTCTTGGCGCCCTCTTGGGCCGTTTTGGGGCCCTCTTGGGGGCCTCTTGGGAGCCTCTTGGGGCGCTCTTAGGGCCCTCTTGGACAGTCTTACGCGCCTCTTGGCCCGTCTTGGCGCCCTCTTGGGCTATTTTGGGGGCCTCTTGGAAACATCTTGGGCCGTCTTGGGGCGGTCTTGGGGGCCTCTTGGACCGTCTTCAACGCCATGAAAGGCGAAAAGCCGTATATGCTAAAGATGCACGTCTTCCTGAAGAAAATTAATGATTTTGGCCTCTTGGGGCCCTCTTGGGACGCCTCGTGGGCGCCTCCTGGGGCGTCGTGGAGGCCTCTTGGGACGTCTTGGGGCCGCCTTGGGCGGTCTTGGGCTCTCTTGGAGCGCTCTTGGGCCGTCTTGGGCGCTTCTTGGGCCGCCTTGGGTCGTCTTGGGCGCCGTCTTGGCCGCTTCTTGGGCTGTCTTAGGCGCCTAAGACGGCCCAAGAAGCGCCCAAGAAGCGTTTTCCGATGATGTCTCGAGCGAAACGCTGTCTTTAAGCCCCGAAGGCCGTCTACTCGATAGAAAACGAGGCGGGAGGGCAATTAGATCCGGGTCTGGCGATGCCACCCCCCTCGAACTCCCCCAAGTCCAATTTCTTCCGACTAACGGACCGCACGCTAACGCGCGCTTTCCGTCATCCGGGACTGGCGATGCCACCCCCCTCGAACTCCCCCAAATCCAATTTCTTCCGACTAACGGACCGCACGCTAACGCGCGCTTTCCGTCATCCGCCGCCCCCTGTCGATTCATCGCAGGGGTGCCTGGCGTGCTGGACCCTCTCGATTTTGGTTTTGGTTCTTGTTCCAAAAGAACTCCCCCTGGGGCTTCGGCCCGTCCCGCCGGCCACCCGGAAAATCCCCAAAACGCGTCCGTCATGCCTCTGTTTCCTCCAGTTGGCCCAAGATGGCGTCCAAGACGGCCACGATGGCCCACGATGGTCTCCAAGACGTCTCCAAGACGGCCCAAGATGGCCTCCAAGGAGCCGACGCGCGCGCTTCCCGCGGTCCGCATGCCGCCGCGGCGCACTTCCACGACAGGGCTTCTGCAACTCGTCGCACGACCCCCCAAAGCGTCGAACCACGAGAAGATGCTATAGCAAAACCAACCCTGCCTTCCCCTGCTCGGGGGGGGGGGGGGGGGGGGCTTACACCCTACCCCCCTCCCCTGGACCTGGACGTGGTGCCCCGCGAGGTGACAGAGGGTCCTTTTCGGACCAGGGTGGTTCCAAGAGGGCTTCGCAGAGCCCAAGACAGCGGACGGTGGACTGTCTTCAGCTGGCCGTGAGGTAAGGGTAACTGACCGTCAGCTACAGGACACTGGCTCTGGCTGTGGCTTACTTGTTGTATGCCCGTCCGTTGAAGACAACTGGCGGTAGGTTACCTTCAACTGGCGGTCAGGTGAAGGAAACGCACTGCCCGCCAGTTTGAAATAATGGGCCGTGAATTACATAGAAAATGGCGGTCAGCTAAAGGCAACTCACTGTCAGTTACCTTTTAGCTGACGGCCAGTTATTGCTACTGACCTCCAGCTAGAGGTAACTCGCCGCCAGTTGAAGGTAATCCCACCAGCCGTCTGGGCGCAGGTGGTTTCAAAAACTCTTGTCCTCTCTCGTCCAAAACCCATCCTTCCCCTGCTCGGGGGAAGGGTTCCCGCCCTACACTTAGATCGGGCACGTCCCCCTACAGGCGGATCATGGGCGACAAATAAAAATAATTCAACAAATGCTCAAAAACAGTCAAACGATACTAAAGAGATCGCCCCCTGACTATGTGTGGACTATGTTTGAATATGCCTTCTGTAGAGGGACAGGCCCGACTTAACCCTACCCCCCTCCCCTGGACCTGGACGTGGCGCCCCGCGAGGTGACAGAGGGTCCTTTTCGGACCCGGGTGGTTCCAAGAGGGCCTCAGAGAGCCCAAGATGAACTCCAAGATGGCCCCCGGGATAGTTCAAGATGGCTCAAGATACCCTCCGACATGCCTCCACAAAGCCCCACCATGACAGCCCAAAGACGATCACAAAGTACCCTTCGAGCCTTCCAAGGCACCCCCAAGAAGCCAAAATTCTTCAAACACCTTAGGCAATCAATGCGGCTCGCAATCTTGCAGATTCGCTTCCGATTGCCTTTTCAAGCCTCACAATGGCTCCAAGATGGCCCAGGAGAGCCCCAAAGGGGGGCCCAAGGGGGGCCCAAGAGGGCCCCAAGAGCGCCCCGAAGCGTTCCTAGAGCGGCCCTAGAGGGCCCCAAAACGCCGCTCTTGAGCCTCCGAAGGTTTTTTTTTTGGTTTGGGGGAAGGGGGGGGGAAGGGGGGAGGGGCGAATTGACGCCGCCCTTTTTTGCGACCCATGGGGCTCAAGACGGCCCCAAGAGGCCTCCAAGACCCTGCAAAAGAGCCCCAAGAGGGCCGCAAGATGGCTCCAACGAGGCCAAAAAGGCTTCCACAATGGGTCCGAAATGGCTCTGTGATGCCTCTTCCAAGAAGCTCGCGTATCGAAAGCTCCACGATGGTTTTTTTTTCGTCGTCGTCGCCTCCTTCTTCCTCACCCATCCTTTTATTCGTTCGTCCTCTTCTCCTCCCCCTCCGCCTCCTCCTCCTCCTCCTCCTCCTCCCCCTCTTCCTGTAATATGTTGTCCCTCCTCCCGTTGCCAAAAATAGCATCCCCGCCCCGAGAGGGTCCCAAGATAACTCCGAGAGGCCCTCAGGAGACCCCAATGCCGCCGTTTCAGCTGTTAAATAAATCAACACATGTTCCCGCTGTTGCTGCGACCTCGAAACGTTTCCAACGAGGTTGTTACACAATATGCTTCTACACTTCCCTGATCAAGGCAATTCGCATGGCGATCGTTCCTGGATGGGCTGGTGGGGATTTTTTCCGTCGCGGCCGCAAGCGAAAGCACAGGCGGCGTCCGAAGTCAGCCTGGGCTACGAGCCAAACCTAATTACCTAAGCGCGCGAACTAACGACCGCCGGAGCTGCCGCCAGGGGACGCTGGGCGACGCCGGGGACTGAAGGCAGAGCTGCAAGAGGTGCCGGGTGTGCCAGGCGGCTGATATGCAAACACCCCAGGGGCGAGACCACCAGGAAGGCAAACGAATTGCACCTTGTCGCGCCAGGCGCCAGAGGTGAACGTGGACAGGTGGGGATACTGTCTGTCGCAACCGCAGGCGAAAGCGCCAGCGGCGAGTCGAGTCAGCTCGGGCCACGAGACTGGTGGGGATACTTTTTTTTTGATTTGCGGCCCGCAAGGAAAAGTCCAGAGGGCGGTATGAGGCAAAGGGGCGCGATGCCAGAAGATTACCATGCAAAACCACTGGGCGGATGCCAGCGGAAGAGAAGCTGCCACAGGTGGACAACAAACGAACACAAGCCAGACCCGCAGGTGGGGAAACCTGACCGGTGGCCGGAAGAAAGAGAGCAGGACCACTGGGCAGATGCCAGGGCCAAGGGCACCAGAAGGCACCGCACACGCAAACAAGGCAGCAACGGACGCTGAGCCTGTACCCAAGCAGCCACAAGGGGCGCCGCACAGAAAAAAGGGGGGCGGAACGGAGCACAGGAGGCCGAGAGCGCGGCGGACTCATTCACGTGGCACCCAGTGCGTATACGTCATCGAGAATGACGATCACTCCCAATACCGACGACGGGGAGGGCCACTTGGCACACAGCTAGACTTCAACTGGTGAAGCACGAGGAGAGGCCTTCAGCCAGTCGCCACTGCACCACGGCCCGCACTCGCACGGGCAAAGGCCTGGGTGGGGTAATTTCAGCCGACCGCAGGCGCAAGAACCCACGGGATGCCGCGGGTACCAATGCGCAGAGTAGTGCCCCTCGAACCCAACTGATGGGGATACGCGAAGCGTCAAGAGTTGACGGTGAGCTACCTTGAACTGACTTGTAGAAAGGTAGCCGAACGTCAGTTGAAGGGAACTGCCTGTAAATCACCACCTTTACCTGGCCACCAAATACCTTGAACTGACCGTCAGTTAACCGTCAGCTAAGAATAACTCGCGGGTGAGGCGAGGGACGGAGTAAGGAGCGGGGCGGAGGCCGGGCTACCTCTCACCGTTCACCCGCCGTGTGAGCTAGTTACCTTTAACTGACGGTCAATTAAGGTATCTCACGGTCAATTACCTTTAATTGACGGTCAATTGAGGGTAGCTCACCCTCAGCTACCTTCAACTGACGGTCAGTTAGAAGTCATTGTGGGGGTCATACTTGATCGTGGTCATCGTCATCCTCAGCACCATCATTGTCGTCGTATTGGCCATCATCGTCGTCATCATCATCGTCATCATCGTCATGATCATCCTTCTCTGCATGCTCCCATCTTTCCCGCTTGCCCCAGCCTCGTTGGCAGCCGCAGCCGGAGGAAATTCAGGTCGATGCAGCAGCGATTGGCGAAGAGGTGGCGGAGGCTTGTACTCCCGTTTCGGCACCTGCTGGGGGGAGGAGACAAGGGAATGCGACGTCCTGATTGTTTTAACATCGGGAGCGGCCAAGAGGGGGGTGTCCAAGAGGGGGGGGTGCAAATCATGACCGACGGCACGTGCGCGGCCCAGCGGGGGGGCCAGGGACGTAATGAAATGAGAAGAGAAGCCATGAAATCTGGGGAAATATCATGCCCCCCGCCATGATATCCACCCCCCCCAAGTCATCACCCCCCTCTTTGCCGCCCCCGACGATAATATGGGGTCGCTGGAAGTCCCGACCCGGTCCCTGACCGATCTGGTTCTTCATTTTGCGTCGCTTTCTCACGGTCCCGAAGCCTGGAGAGGGCCCCCCGAGGCCTAAGACGGCCGAGAACTGCGCCCGGCGCGGACAGGAGGGAGACAGAGGCGCGATCTCTCTCTCACACTCACACATCACACACACACACACACACACCACACACACGCACGCACGCACGCACGCACGCACGCACGCACGCGCACGCACGCGCACGCACGCACGCACGCACGCACGCACGCACGCACGCACGCACACACACACACACACACACACACACACACACACACACACACGCACACACACACACAGACACACACACACACACACACACACACCAAGGGGCACACACCCCTTAGCGGGATCCCGACACGACAGCCGCCGCCCCAGGGTAGGCATCCCCTGGTTAGCACCAGCCTTGCCGTTGCCCGTTGCCCCTGACCTACGGCAGGTTCGTGTCGTGCCGACTTCGGCGTTGGCTTCTGACACCGCGGGGATCGTTCAACCTTGAACGATCGGCCGTTTCAAAACGTCCAAATCGTTCATCATCGAACGATTCTGGGTCGCCCACGGCGTTCAACGTTGAACGCCGCTGGCGGGGTCGCCGCTGGTCGACACGACACGAACCTACAGTGCGGGCGCGGCCGCAAGAAACCCTCGCAAGAAACCCAACCCTGAAAACACGCACACGAGGTGCACCTGAGGGGAAGCCCCCGGAGCACCCTGGAGGCAGCAGGTCCGTCCTGGTTTCTTGATGCGCGCCCCCACTGTACCGTACGCGAGGTCTCACCGCACGGTCCGTCAAGACCTCAACGCACGGTCCGTCAAACGCACGGTTCTGGGACCTCGGATGCCCAAGTCGCCCGAGACGTCCTCGGAGAACGACCCGAGCCCCAAAACCGTGCGGTGACCCCGAATCCCCACCGACTAACCACGCGGTGTGATCGCAAACCCGTTTATCGGGAGCGGCCAAGAGGGGGGTGTCCGAGAGGGGGGGGTGCAAATCATGACCGGCGGCACGTGCGCGGCCCAGCGGGGGGGCCAGGGACGTGATGAAATAAGAAGAGGCGCCCTGAAATCTGGGGAAATATATATCATGGCCCCCGCCATGATGTCCACCCCCCCCAAGTCATCACCCCCCTCTTTGCCCCCCCCGAGCGTGGCCCCCGGGGCAGTCTGCCCCTGGCGTCGCTCGGAGGGCCGGAACGCCCAGGACGATCCCACATCTGCCTTATGATGTTCCAGCCTCCTTTACCTGAAGGGGAACTGGGACACACAAATAAATACACACAAATAAAAGGATTCCCCATATTTTCCTATATTTTCTGGGCTTTTGTCTTCCCCACCACTTCCCATATTTTCCCATATTTTCTGGGAAATCGACGATTAATTGTGTCTGTGTTTTTTCCCCTCCTGATCTACCCTTGACTGCCAAAAAGAATTGTTCGAGCACCGGACAAGTACCAAAACTCTAGGGCTTTCACGCGTCGGGCCCCAAGGAGGCACTCGTCCGACACTGTGTCGACACTGTTTCGACACTTTTCCGGGCGCTCGAAATTACTTCTGGGATGTGGTCCTCAAGTACAATGGGAGCAACAAAACATGTGCCACTCCCCGTGCCCTCACGTAGCACACACACTCCCTCTCGAGCAAGGGCCACGCGAGGAGCTCAGGGACGACTTCCACGGCGACTGCGGACTGCGAGCCGCGAGCTGCCTTCTCCCTTCATGAGTGCGTAGCATTTTGACTCGGGGTTCCGTCCTCGCGGGACGGTCTGGCGCGCGCAGAGGGAGCTCGTACCTAGCCCACGTCCCCGCCCCGAGCACTGCCGGACAGACTGAAGATCGAGTGAGCACCGAAAAGAAACCGGTCTTACGCGAAATGGCACAGTGACCTCACGCGGCGGCTCACACGGGCGGCCAGCGCGGCACACCGCGTGAAGAACGAGGGCGCCCACGCGTGACCTTACGCAGGAAACTTACGCGCGAGTGTCCGCGCAGTCGATCCCATCTTCTTCCGTCGCTTACTTGATCCCTGACGGAGACCCCTCAGGACACCCTGGACTCCCTGGGCCTTCAAGACTCCCTAGACTCCTCCGAAGGCCCCCGGACCCCCTGGACTCCCCAGGCTTCCAGGGCCGCAACGACCTTCCAGGAAGAGCACGAGGCAGGGGGGGCCTTCCGCCTGACCGAGCCCCCCTGGACTCGGCCCTGCCGTTGCCGTTTGCCCCTGGCCCGCGCGGCACCGCCGGCTGCGGATGCGGCACCGGCGCCGTCAGCACGCAGGCCTCTGCGAGGCGGGGACCTATCCATATCCACCGCCTGGGAGCCGACGTCCTGGTGCCTCAGCGGGCGGCGGTTATGTTTCGGCCCCCGAGGGCCCGAAGATGTCCATATCCACCGCCTGCCGAGGCTCCGAAAACTGACCCTCCAGGCGGTGGTCACGTACAGATTCCCACCTCGGAGCCTCCCTCTCCTGCTCGCGCTGCATCCGCCGCGCTCGCCTCGCAGAGACCACGATGGGCCGCCGGCGGTACCTGGCGCGGCGCGCAGCGGGGCGTGGACGGCGCGTCATCGGCGGCGGGGGGATCCGGGGAAAAAGGATCGGTTAGGGGGCCACATGCGAACCCTACCCCTACGTCGGGCATGTCCCGCTACAGGCCGATTGGGGGCGAAAAACTAAAATCATCCCAGTGCGACCCTACCTGGGAGTTGGAGCCTCTAGGAAAGCAACATGGATGCTGTGCTGCGCTATGCTATGCTATGCTGTGGGTGCTGTGCTGCGCTATGCTATGCTATGCTGTGGTGCTGTGGTGCGCTATGTTATGCTATGCTATGCTATGCTATGATATGTTATGATATGATATGGTATTATACGGTATGATATGCTATGTTATGCTATGATATGCTATGCTAAGGCTATGCTATGCTATGCTATGCTATGCTGCGCTATGCTGCGCTATGCTATGCTATGCTATGCTATGCTATGCTATGCTATGCTATGCTATGCTATGCGTTTGTGTTGTCTTCGCTTTTGCCTTCATTGTTGCATTTGCTTTTGCTTTTGCTTGGCACCCAGGGAACGCAACTGGGGGAACCGCGCGTTTGCTTTTACCTTTACTGTTGCTTTTGCTTGGCTCCCAGGGGACTGGGGGAACCGCCTGGGGCGATTTCCACTGCCCGGCCCCTTTAAGCGAAGCGAGTAAGAACCCTTCTAGGCAGAGCCTAGATAGGGAAATACTCAAAACAAATATATATATATATATATATATGTATCTATATATACACATATACACTCCAAAATAGACATTGATACTAAAAATATCGTCCCCAGACTATTGTTTGACTGCTGCTTTTGAAGATTCCTCCTGTAGAGGAACAAGCCCGACTCAAATCTAGGTTTAGGGCCTCGAGGGCCTCCGAGGGCCTCCAGAAGCCTCCCTGAGGGGGGGGGCCGGCGGCCCCAGGCGGCGGCAGCGGATGGCGAGATCCGCAGGAGCGGCCTGAGGGAGGTGGAGTGAACGCATGCGACGAGAAACCTTCCTGGAGGAGGAGGAGGAGGAGGAGGAGGAGGCGAAGGAGGAGGAGGAGGAGGAGGAGGAGGAGGGGGAGGAGGAGGGGGAGGCGAGGAGGAGGAGGAGGAGGAGGAGGAGGAGGAGGAGGAGGAGAGAGGAGGAGGGCAGGTCGCCTAAGCCCTTCGGAGAAACCCTGCACTCTCGCCCCGCTGCCGCGCGCGCCGCATGCGACGTGAACGCATGTGATGCGGAAAAAGAACTGTGCGCATACACCGATTCTGGCGAGGCCCGTCCTGAGCCCAGGATCGGTGCATGCGCCCTCCTGCCTTGGCCAGGAAGGCACATGTACCGATGCTGGGGCCAAGGATGGGCCTGGCCAGGACCCGTGCATGTGCACAGTTCTCTTCGCCCGATGTAAGAGGTCCTGGGGTACATCTGTCATCCATCGTTGGGCTTCTGAGGTGCCCCCTGGCTTCTGCGGGTCTTCAAGGATTTTCAGCGGGGGGCATGCTGGCAAGCCGCCTCCTTGTTTGATGCGCCTACCGTAAAACGGTTCGAAGATCGCAGAACGAGGTGTTGGGCCTCGGGAGGCCCCCGAAGGCCTCCCGAGGACTCCCAAGGGACCTCTGTCTGGGAGCCTCCCGGAAGCTGGGCGAAGCGAGCGCGGGGTACCGCTGGGAGCGGGGCCATTGGGGTCCTGCGCGGAGCGTCGGTTCGTGTTGCCCATGTCTTATCATCCCATCACCACATGTTGAACAAAGTTGCCCTCTAACCCATACAAATTCTAGGTATCGTACGCAAATGCCAGCCACCATTCGAAGCCTGAGTCGTGGGTAGCCTTGCGTCGTCGCTGACCACTCCTGCCGCTACCAGCAACTTCACAACCTCGTGGTCCCATCGCTTTCGTTGTGACCGCGATGCTTGCACTGGGCTCACTTCCGTACCACCGATGCACGGCGATGCATCGGCGACGTCGTCGGCGGAGCTTCGGTGACACCAGCGGGGAGAACATCGGTGCGATGTGCGCATGTGCGATGCTCCGACCCTATCTACTCGGACCCCATCTTGGAAGCCTAAGTCGGCGGCGAGCGGGGGTGAAGTGAGAAGGAGCAGGCCTTCTCGGAAGGCTCGGAAGTCCCCCGGCCTTCTGAGAAGTATTCTAAGCCTCCCCCGAAGACAACAAAAAAAAAGTTCTCGCAAGGCGCGAGGGCTTCTGAGGAGTCCCGCCGCCCTCTGAGAAGGCATTCTCCTTCTCATATCCCCCCCCTCGCTCGCCGCCGAATCTACTCGGAGGCCTCCTGCTCTGCTGGGATGATTTCCCACAACGGCTCCAGTAGGTAGGAGGAGGAGGAGGCGGAGGGGGAGGAGGAGGAGGAGGAGGAAGCGGAGGCGGAGGAGGAGGAGGAGGCGGAGGAGGAGGCGGAGGAGGAGGCGGAGGAGGCGGAGGAGGAGGAGGCGGAGGAGGAGGCGGAGGAGGAGGAGGCGGAGCAGGAGGCGGAGGCGGAGGAGGCGGAGCAGGAGGCGGAGGCGGAGGAGGACCTCCCCGTCCTCCTCTCTCCCCCCGTCCTGCCCGGTGGTCGTGGTGGTGGACCCCCACCCCCGGAGGCATCGGCGGGCCCGCTCCCCGCCGCCGGCCGGCCCCGTGCCTCGCCGAGCCCGGCGCGCCGCCCCGCGGGCCGCGCGGGGCACGGCCCGGAGGGCCGCGCGGGGCCCAGCGGGCTGCGGCCGTGGTGGGCAGTGCTTCGGTGATTCGAATGTTGATCGTGGTGATCGGTGATTCGCGGAGCTCCCTGAGCAACCCTGCTCTTCATCTGACCGGCGGCGAGCCCCCAGTGGGAAGTCAGCAGGGGCGGGTCCTCTCTCAGAGGGCTCGGAAGGCCTCGGGCCTTCTGGGAAGTTTCCGAAGCTTCCCCCGAAGACACCAAAGCCTTCTCTCGGGGATGGACAGACCCCCCTTTAGCAAAGCGTGGTTTAGTGAAAACGACCCGAGGCCCAAACCTGGCGGGCGCGAGCCTGGAAAATGACGGCCACGGCGCCCTCTCGAGAACCGAAAACGGACAAGTCACTCATCGACGTGTCACTGTTGGGGGTTCTGTCCACCCCCGAAGTTTACGCCCACGAGCATCGGCGAGCGAGGGCAAGAGAAGCGAAGCACGAAGAGGAGCACCAGCAAAGAAGAATATAGAGGTCCAGAAGTCCACCCCCAGAAGGACCACCCCGACACGCGAGGCCGCTGAGAGTAGACGCGCCCAGAGGAAGGATCAAACAGGGCAGGGATGTTGAGTAAACGCCCAGGGCCGTTTAGTAAACGCCAATTGTCTGGTCCGGGTGGTTTTTCCTCCCTTGAAAAAATGTTGTGGCAAAAGCGAAGGACGAAGAGCAAAGAGCGAAGACGAGGGCAGGCGCGCGATGTTGGGGGAACGAAGAATGGCATCACCATAAAAACTCGGAGGTCCGCGCGGACTTCTCGGATCGGCGCTGGGGCCCCACTGGCGGCGCCTCCGGCGCCGCCACAGGCGCGCTCCGCGCGCCGGGGAGGGGGCCCAGCGCCGATCCGAGAAATCCGCGCGGAGCTCCGAGTTCTGATGCTTACGCCATTCTTCGCTCCCCCAGATGCGGCGCCGCCCGCCCGCTTATCACGCGCTGTCCCCACCTTGGGGATGGCGTGCACCGACTAACAGCGTGCGCCGAGGGCGCCCCCGCGGGGGGATCGCCGCACGGGGACAGCGCGCTCGCCGGAAATCGATGCTGAGGAGGAGGAGGAGGAGGAGGAGGAGGAGGAGGAGCACGAGGAGGAGGAGGAGGAGGAGGAGGGAGGAGGCGGAGGAGGAGAGGAGGAGGAGGAGGAGGAGGAGGAGGGGAGGAGGAGGAGGAGGAGGAGGAGGAGGAGGAGGAGGAGGAGGAGGAGGAGGAGGAGGAGGAGGAGGAGGAGGAGGGGGAGGGGGAGGGGGAGGAGGAGGAGCCAGCGCCAACCGTCCGCGCAGCCCGCCCACACGGGGCCCGACCCAAGGGGGGGTCGGAGGACTGCACCGCACCGCCGACGCGCTGGCAAGGCGTTGGGCGACGTCGGGGCGGAGAAGGCCGTCTAAGCATCGCCAATGCATCGGAGATGCGGCGCGATCCTCCGACCCCATCCGCGCGGAGCCGACGTACAGTCAACCCGTACAGTGTAAGAAGGACGCCCAACAAGGATGCAAGCTCCTTGGAAGGCCAATTTCGACACTTTGCGAGCGGGGCGCGGCCAGCGAAAGTGGCCAAGGATGGGCCGAAGGGGAAGGATGCAAGGGTAACATTGGAAAGTCGCTCTGTCTTACTTTGCGGATTGATTGCATCGCCGATGCATGGGAGATACGGCGCGATCCTCCGACCCCATCTGCGCGGAGCCTACAGTCGGCACGTATCATAAGGATGCGCGATAAGGATGCAAGGGCCTTGGACGCCCAGGTCGAACCTTCTCAAGCGGGGCGCGGCCGACTAAAGTGGCCAAGAATGGACCAAGGAGGCAAGGATGCAAGGGTATCCTTGGATAGATTGCTCATCCTAGCTATGCGGGTTGAGTGTACGCATTCGAACAACCTGGAGCAAGGATGGGGACCCAGCGAGGGGAGGGAGGGTGCCCGTACGACACCGTGCAACAGGGCGCTGGCATCCTCCTCGCCTCCTCCTCGCTCTGCTCATTCCTCTGGTGCTTTTTCGACACCTCTGGTGGGCAGCTGCGGGACCTGGAGGGTCCATGTCAGGCTCTACCCTTCTCTCCACTGGGGCCTTTGGTGGAGCTCCCTGTGGGGGCACGAAACGCTGTACAGAATGGGGGGGACGCATGCGGGTGGTGCCACTGGGCGAGCGAGCGAGCGAGCGCGCGATGACGGTCCACCGGGACCGGCCCTAGGAGGGCGGCGCGGGGGGGCCGGAGCCCTCAGTACTCGGCCTGGGACTCGCGGTCGATCTGGATGAAAGTGGTGTGAAACGTAAAATGTTTGGGCCTCTGGTGTATTCTGGAGTCCAGTGGGTGGAGGTGAGAGTGATAGGGCGGATAGGTGGGCGTGGAAGTGGAAAGTCGGATGCTGGAGGTCGATAGGTGGAGGTGGAGATGGAAAGTCGAATGCTGAAGGCCGGAGGTCGGCGTGCTGACGGAGTGCTGAGCTGGTGGACGCTGGAGGTCGATAGGTGGTGGTGGAGGTGGAAAGTCGGATGCTGGAGGCCGGAGGTCGGAGTGCTGAGCTGGTGGACGCTGGAGGTCGATAGGTGGAGGTGGAGGTGGAAAGTCGCATGATCGAGGCTGGAGGTCGGAGTGCTGAGCTGGTGGACGCTGGAGGTCGATAGGTGGAGGTGGAGGTGGAAAGTCGGATGCTGGAGGCTTCAAGTCACTGTGTTGAGCTGGCGGAGCCTGAAGGTCGATAAGTGGATGTAGGACTGGGGCCTTCGGTGAAGCTCCCTGTGGGGCCACGAAACGCTGAACTGGGTAGGGGGCATGCGGGCGGTGCCACTGGGGCCTTCGGCGGAGCTCCCTATGGGCCCACAAAACGCCGTACTGGGTGGGGGCTGGTGATGATGCTGATGCTGATGATCATGGAGGGAGAAGGAGGAGGAGGAGGAGGAGGAGGAGGAGGAGAAGGAGGAAGAGGAGGAGGAGGAGGAGGGGGAGGATGAAGGAGTGAGGGACACGGGGCGCTGTCTCTTCAAAACGAGGACCCAACATCACAGGATGGTTGGGAATCAAGGGAGGCCATGATTTGGCGGGGCAGTCAAATGGTGAGACAGGAGGGGCCTGAGACGTTGAGGGCGATGTGGGGGCAAAAAAAGGGGGTGTACGCAGGACCACTGGCATTTGCCGCCAGGCTGCCCTGGAGGAGTGTGGGGGGAAGCCAGAGGAGGACGACGAGGGGGAGGAGGACGAGGAGGAGGACGACGAGGAGGAGGAAGTGATCACGGGCAGGGCAGGGGTCGCCCGGTGAGCTCGCAGGTGAAGTTATCCAGCTGCGAGTGCCACCTGGCCGGGAGCGTCGGGGGGGGGGGGGGGGGGCACTCCTTGTCTTCCTTTCTGGGAGGGTAGGAGGAGGAGGAGGAGGAGGAGGAGGAGGAGGGAGTAGGATGAGCAGGAGGAGGAGGAGGAGGAGCAGGAGGAGCAGGAGGAGAAGGAGGAAGAGGAGGAGGAGGAGGAGGAGGAGAAGAGGGGGAGAGCGGAGAAGGCAAGCTAGATGCGCTCGCGCCTCATCTGTCCTCCTGTTCCTCCCTCGTCTTCCCAGATATCGCTGCTTCGTCTTTATCCGCGGACGCGTGTCATGGCCGACCTGCGACTCGCACAGAGAGACCACTTCGTGTTGCGCGCAGTCGGAGCAAGGGGAGCTGCACTCACAGGAGGAGGGGACGGCGGGCGAGCAGGAGGAGGAGCGGGAGGAAGAGGATGAGGACGAACAGCAGCAGCAGGAACTACAGCACAAGAATTGGGAGGAAAAGCAGGATCATGGGAAGGCGGAGGGGAAAGGAGGGGGGCAGCAACGATGAATCAAGACTCGGATTCCGAAAGGTTACTCGCGCTGCGGCGAGACGAACAGCAGCAGCAGGAGCTGGAGTGTGAGGAGCGGGAGGAGCAGGTGTAACAGGAGAACCAGGGGAATGCGGAGGGGGGGAAACGATGGGAGGGGACCACAGATGGAGCAAGCCTCGGATCCAGACAAGTGGCCCACGCCGGAGCGAGAGCGTCACTCTGAACGACGGGAGCAACGCGCCGATGCGAACAGGAGGCCCACGCTGCCCCGGGAGCACCATTCTGAAGCACCGAAGACAACTTGACTGTGAAAAAAGCCGTGCTTGAAATCCGGTGGGAAAAACACGATGGGGCGGAAGATCTTCCGGACAACCTCAGTGGAGGAGGGAGAGTAGTGTTCATATTGTTGACTTGCAGAGAGGAGGAGGGCAGTGTGCGGGAGGATGAAGAGGGAAGCAGCCAGGGGGTGAATGGAAGAGGATGAGGAGAAGGAGGGCGAGGAAAGAGGAGGGCGTGAGGGAGGAGGACGAGGAAAGAGGAGCAGCAGCAGCAGCAAGAGCGAGGAAAAGGAGACAAAGAAGGACAGGCAGGACCGTGGCGATGAGGCCTGGGAGAGCGTGGATGGTGGTCAGACGAAGAGAAGCAGAGCGAGAAGAAAAAATGGGACGATAATGTTGTGGGCAGGTAAGACGGCAAGAAGGAAGAAGATGGAGATGGGGAGGATGACGAGGCGGAAGAAGGATGGATTGGACGGAGGAGTGGAGAGGAGAACGAAAGAGGTATTAAAGAAAGAACTGGAGGAGGAGGAGGAGGGAAGAGGAGGAAAAGGAAGAGTCATCGCAAGGAAGAAAGAATCTGATTGGGGGAAGATGAGAAAAGCACCCGCTTGGAGCGAACTGAAGTTGAAGTGGAATAGCGAGTGGAATCCTGTGGAGCTGAACGGGGCGGACCGGAGTGGCAGAATGAAGTGGCGGGGATAAAAAAGTTGGAGCAGTGGAGCCGGGTGGAGCGCAGCGGAGCGAAGTGGATTGGAGCGCAGTCCTGATGAGGAGTTGGAGCACGGCAACATGGGGTGGACTGGATTCGAATGGGAAGGTTTGTACGCGGGTCCTCTGGCCGACACCATCGGGGAGGAGAAAGACATGGGAGAGCGCAGATGAGGGGGCAAGCAACTACCGCGTGAGACCACTAGTCAACCGACAAGGTCGAACAGAACGGAACAGCGGACCGGAAAACTGGGAGTGCTCAAGTGGGACGTCTAGTCGGCAGATTTGGGTGGACCCAAGAGCGTCGGGGCATGTGGTCGGCCAACACCTGTGCAGGGGCGGGTGGCAGGGTAGCAGCAGCAGCAACAGCAGCAGCAGCGGAGGCCGCAGCACGGCAACAGCGGCGCGGTAGTACTGGCCGAGACTGCATTGCGCCTGACACAGCCACAAGGACAACGGGGAAAACCTTCAGAACCACCCGTATTCCCCAGAAGTGGGTAAAGAAAACGCAAATGCATAAACCAACCGTATTGGAATACAGAGGAAGACCCTTCTCCAGGGTAGTTCGTGGACAAGGGTGTTTTTGTGAATTGCATAGGTCCACCCTTCCCGAAAAGTCTGGCCAGGGGTGAGTCCATAAACAAATGGGACGGCCGTTCGATTCGGACGCATTCCCCGCGGCGCGCGGTGGTCCGCGACGGGGTGGGTGACTAAAACAACAAAAAGAAACAGTGGTGCAGTGGAGGCCAGTCCACAAGAAACCTTCCACAAGAAACCCAGCCCTGAGACCCCAGGACGTCGGTGGATCTTTGGCGTGGGAACGTCACGCTTTCCATCGCAAAACCATCGGAACCCAAGAAACCAAGGGCATCCTGGAGGCAAGCAGGGTGTTTCTTGGCATGGGCCTCCACTGTACCAGGGATCCCCGACGCATTCGGGGCCAAGAGAGAGAGAGAGAGAGAAAGAAAGAAACTCCAACAGAAAACGGCGGGCGGGGGCGGTCCCCAAGGATTCTCTGGTATAAGGCTCCCACGGCAGGGGCGGGGTGGATTCAAAAAAACTCCCCCCCTTTCGCCCCGAAATCAACTGCGAGGGCCCGCCGTAATCGAAGACACCGGCGACCACCACGAATGACGAACGACGAGGACGAAGAATAGAACGAGGACGAGCACGACGACGACGACTACGACGACTACGACGACGACGACGACGACGACGACGACGACGACGACGACGACGACCACGACCACGACCACGACCACGACGACGCACGGACGGACGGACGAATGGACAGACGACGACAACGCGCACCGCTGCGGATGCCCCATGCGGGGGGAGGGCTGCTCGATGATCCTCAGAACGTGTGTTAGCGCCAACGTGTGTTTGCCCACTGAGGCCTTTCCACACGACGAAAACGCTGTCATGACCTACGTACTAGTCGGACGGAGCGGGGTAAAAACACACACACTGGGCCAACGCACGCCCCGAAGACCATCGGGCCGCGAAGGCCCGCCGCGATCGACAAACGACGGCGACGCCGGCCACGAAAACGACCACGAGGACGGCGCCGAGGACGACGCCGACGACGCCGACGACGACGCCGACGACGACGGCGCCGAGGACGGCGCCGAGGACGACGCCGACGACGCCGACGACGACGCCGGGCGGACGACGACGCCGGGCGGCGGAGCGGCGGCGGCCGCGCACGGCGCCAAGGGGCGCGCAGGGAGCGGGGGGGGGGGCCGCCGCTCGCCCTTGGGGGCGCTGGGCAGGCGCCGAGGGCTGCGGCTGTCTCTGCGGGGCAGCCTCGCGGCAGCGGGCGCGGCGGGGGCGGGGCGGTTGCAATCCTGCGTTCCGGAGTTTTTTTTTGCAATCCTTCGGGGGGGGGGGGGGGTTGCAATCCTTCGTTCAGGGGTTTGTTTGCAATCCTTCGGGTTTTTTGGGCAATCCTTCGTTCAAGGGGGGGGGCAAAGACCAAGGGGCACGAAGGAGGACACGACCAGAAAACGTCGGAGGTCCGCGCGGACTGCTCGGATCGGCGCCGGACTGCCCCGGCGGCGCTTCCAGCGCCGCCCCCTGCGCGCTCCGCGCACCGAGGAGGGGAGCCCAGCGCGGATCCGAAGAATCCGCGCGGACCTCCGGGTTTTCATGTTTATGTTTCGGTCGGGTGCGTCCTCCCACAGGCGGATTTTGGGCGACAACCAATATATATAGATATATATATATATATATAGATATAGATATAGATATAGATATATATATACTTCAAACATGACTACAAGTGATTAATTATCGTCCCCAAACTATTTTTAAAACGTGTTTTGTTTTCCTCCTGTTAGAGGGACGTGCCCAACTGAAGTTTATGCCATTCGCCCCCCTAACAGCGGTCGCGTCGGGGGCGGGGTGGGGAGAGGGCCGAGACAACCTCCCAGATAGCAAGCTGTCCAGCTCACTCCCACCCGCCCTCTCAGCACGCAAGCCTGCATGTTCTAGGGGGCCACATGCGATCCCTACCCCTGCCCCCCACGATTCCTGAGGGTGGGGTGGGGTTCACTTCGCCCGGGAGCTCCCGAACGAAGTGAACCCCACCCTCCCCCTCAGAAATCGCGTGGGGGCAGGGGTAGTAGAAGAAGAAGAAGAAGAAAAAGAAGGAGGAGAAGAAGAAGAAGAAGCAGAAGAAGAAGAGGATAAACACATAAGCATAAAATGTTGGCGTTCTGCGCGGATTCTTGGATTCGCGCTGGACCCCCCTCCCTGGCGGGCGAAGGGCGCCAGGGGCGGCGCCGGACGCGCCGCGGGGGGCGAGGCCACCACGGATCCGAGACATCCGCGCGGAGCACCGAAAGTTTATGCTTATGTGGTTTTTTCTTCTTCGAGGGGTAGGGTTCGCATGTGGCTCCCCGTGTTCGGCGGTCATCTTTGGATGGGCAGCTGCCGGGAACCAGCACCGAGCCCATGTGCGCGACGCCGGGGCGAGGTGCAGAGGCCGGGAGGAGGGCGGGAGGGAGGAGTGCACAGCCCGAGGGGACGACCGACGACGGCGGACGACATTCAACTCCCGATCACCTCTAACTGCATGGCGGGGGCGCGCCTGGCGAAGCTAAGCGCTCTCGCCCGCAAGGGCGGGAGAGAGGAGGAGGGCGAGGAGGGGGATCAGTCTAAACCCAGGGCGCATCAAGGATGTTGCGATGAACCTCCCCTCCAAGTTCCCTCCCCACAGGGCGCTACAAGACTCGAATTTCCATTGCAGGAAGGCGCCACACTGGAAGTCAAACGGCTCAGAGTCCTCGGTCGTGCCACAGGACCACTCCTGGGACTTCAGCGCCAGGGATCAACGTGTCTGCTGCGTTTTGACAAGCCTACATCGTGCCAGAATACCGTTCCTGGGGATTCAACACCGCGAATCAGCGTGACGGTTGTGTTCTGATAACCCTGAACCAATCCAGAACAGAAGTCCTGGAACTTCAACCATGCGAATCCCCGAAACTGCTGCAAACATTCAAGACGAATGCGGGCGAAGCTAAGGCGGCAGCCCCACGTTGAGAAAGAGCCGCCCTCCGTCCTGGAGGGTTTTTCCCCAAAAAGTTGCAACACGGATATGCCAGGCGCTAAGGCGACGGCCACATTTTGAAAAAAGACACCGCCCCCATATAGTTTTGAAACTGTCGCAGCCAAAAAAAAATGAGAGGAATGTGCGCGGTGCTACGACGTGAGGTACACTTTGACAAGGACCCCCCCTCCATCCGCGAAACTGCTGCAACTTGAACCATCGATGGCCAAGGATTATCGGGCGAAACGCCTGGCCCGCCCCACCGACACGTCTGCACGTGCGGCAGGGAGGAGTTACTCAGAAGGAAGAGGCATTGAGGCGGAGGAGGAGGAGGAGGAACAGGAATAGGGGGCCGTAGAGGACGAAAGAGAGGAGGAGGAGGAGGAGGAGGACAGCGAGAACAGCCAGGGCGAGGTTGGCAAAGAAGACGGGAGGGAGGATGACGAAGAGGAGGGCGAGGAGGAGGAGAAGGAAAACTAGGAGGGGGGTGGACGGGAAAGAGGAGCAGGAGGATGGGGTTGCGAGGAGAAGGAGGAGGGCGAGGAGGACGAGGAGGAGGAGGAGGAGGAGCAGGAGCAGGAGGAGGAGGACGACGACGACGACGATGAGGACGAGGATGGGAAGAAGAAGATGGACGACGAGGTGAACGAGGCCGACAGTGACGACGCCGAAAGCGCACCCCTGCCCGTGCCGCTGCCGAGAGCACTCCCCGGACAACCCTACAGAAGGCTCGCACAACCAGCAGACGCAGCAGAGAATTCGCCTCCAGAGGCTCATTTTCCGCGTGCGCGTCGGCCGCTACTAGTGTCACGCCCACCAGCGTCTGCACCGAGAAGCTGGACAGAGTGGAAGTTTTAGGTCGGGCGTGTCCCCCTACAGGGGGAATTTGGATGGATCTTTTTTATATTCCAAAAATGCTCAAAAATTGTCAAATAATACTCAAAAAATCGTTCCCAGACTATGCTTGGCTATTTTTGGACAGGCCCGACTTAATGGAAGTTGCAGATTCCATCCAGGTGGAAGCGGCCAGTGCGGGAAAAGCTGGCAGGGGCTGAAACGAGCCCGAATCCACTGGGACGAGGTCGCCAGACGGAGGCCGGCAAGAGGGGCGGCGGGGGGTGCAAGTCATGGCCCGAGGCATGTGCGCGGACGAAGGGGGGGGGCCAAGGAACGCTTCGAGAGAAGAAAAAGAAGAGCCGGCAATGGAATCTGGCAAACTTCATGGCCCTGCCGGTGACATCCACATACCCCTAGTCTTAGGTCGGGCATGTCACCCTACAGGCGGATTTTGGGCGAAAAACTATATTAACAACCAAAGAAGAAATGTCAACAAATACTCCGAAATAGTCAAATAGTAGAAAAGTCGTCTCCAGACCTATTTCTCCAGTCGAATAGTGAATTTTCTTCCTGTAGAGGGACACGGCCCGACTTAACCCTAGTCCTCCACCCCCCCTTTGCGATGGCTCATGTCCTCTGCCTCCTCCGCCCGCGCTGGCGCAGGCCCCACCTCGGGCGAGCCCGGCGTCGCTCCCCGGGCACGCAACCGCTGAGCGCTGCGGATGCACGCACACACGCGCACAAGACACAGACCAGGCCGGCCGCATCCCCCATCCCCTCCGTCCCCCCCCGCACCTCCCCCCCGCCCTATCCCTACCCCTCCTTCTCCATCTCCTCCTCCTCCTCCTCCTCCTCCTCCTCCTCCTCCTCCTCCTCCTCCTCCTCCTCCTCCTCTACTTCCTCCTCCGCGTCATTACCCTCCTCCTCCTCCTCCTCCCTCCTCCCTCATCATCATCATCATCATCATCATCATCATCATCATCATCATCTCATCATCATCATCATCATCATCATCATCATCATCATCATCATCATATCATCATCATCATCATCATCATCATCATCATCATCATCATCATCATCATCATCATCATCATCATCATCATCATCATCATCATCATCATCATCATCATCATCGTCATCGTCATCGTCATCATCATCATCATCATCATCATCACCATCATCATCGTCGTCATCATCATCATCATCATCAGCAGCAGCATCATCATAATCATAATGATACCGGAGAAAAACCCCAAATATAATAGTTTTACGGCTGTAGGGATATGGGGCTCTGCGGTTATAGGACCATAGGGCTAGGGCTATAGGACTATAGGGCTATAGGGCTATAGGAACATAGGGCTATAGTGCTACAAGGCAATAAGGCTGTAGGGCTTTAGGCATATTAGGGCTATAGGGTTATAGGGCGAGACGGCGATTGGGCTATAGGGCATAAAGACTATAAGGCTATAGGGCCATAGGGCTATTAGAGCTATAGGGCTATAGGGCCATAGGGCTATAGGGCTATGGGTCCATAGGTCTATAGGGATATAGGGCTATAGAGCTAGGGCTATAGGGCGATAACACCCGGGCACCCTGGGACACACGGGCACCCCGGGGCACCTCCGGGCACCCCTGGGCACCTCCGGGCACCCCCGGGCACCCGGGCACCCGGGCACCCCCGGGCGCCCGGGCACCCGGGCACCCCTGGGCACTGGGGCACCCCCAGGCACCCTGGCACCCGGGCGTGCGGCGAAAATCGGCGGCAAACCTAACCTAACCATATGAATCCGCTAGGACCCCTACAGAGGCAAGCTCTGATTGGGGAATCATCATCATCATCATCATCATCATCATCATCATCATCATCATCATCATCATCATCATCATCATCATCATCATCATCATCAGCCTCATGATCATCAGCAGCACCATCATCATAATCACCATCATGATCACCAGCAGCATCATCAAAGTCATCATCATCAGCATCATCAGCAGCATCAGCATCGGCAGCAGCATCATCATCATCATCATCACCATCATCATCGTCGTCATCATCATCATCATCATCATCATCATCAGCAGCAGCATCATCATAATCATAATGATACCGGAGAAAAACCCCAAATATAATAGTTTTACGGCTGTAGGGATATGGGGCTCTGCGGTTATAGGACCATAGGGCTAGGGCTATAGGACTATAGGGCTATAGGGCTATAGGAACATAGGGCTATAGTGCTACAAGGCAATAAGGCTGTAGGGCTTTAGGCATATTAGGGCTATAGGGTTATAGGGCGAAAGGGCGATTGGGCTATAGGGCATAAAGACTATAAGGCTATAGGGCCATAGGGCTATTAGAGCTATAGGGCTATAGGGCCATAGGGCTATAGGGCTATGGGTCCATAGGTCTATAGGGATATAGGGCTATAGAGCTAGGGCTATAGGGCGATAACACCCGGGCACCCTGGGACACACGGGCACCCCGGGGCACCTCCGGGCACCCCTGGGCACCTCCGGGCACCCCCGGGCACCCGGGCACCCGGGCACCCCCGGGCGCCCGGGCACCCGGGCACCCCTGGGCACTGGGGCACCCCCGGGCACCCTGGCACCCGGGCGTGCGGCGAAAAATCGGCGGCAAACCTAACCTAACCATATGAATCCGCTAGGACCCCTACAGAGGCAAGCTCTGATTGGGGAATCATCATCATCATCATCATCATCATCATCATCATCATCATCATCATCATCATCATCATCATCATCATCATCATCATCATCATCATCATCATCATCATCATCATCACAATCATAATCATCAGCCTCAT